TCTCTCTCTCTCTCTCTCTCTCTCTCTCACACTCTTCTCCGTGTAGCCGAACGAAGAAGAGGAAGTAGTGGTTTCATATCCACATCAATCCAGTAGTTAAGTAATATTAAGGCATCACGTCAAATCACACGTCTGTCTCTATTCCACAGGGGAGAAGTGTGTACCGCGGTGTGAGCACAAGGGCGTATGCATCTCACACAACCGCTGTCGATGTGCATCAGGTTACAAAGGCGCCCGCTGCCAACTGCGTAAGTGCAGTTTCTCGACTTCCACAGTAACATAACTAATTTATACTAAATATAATTTGTACTTTTAAATTCAGTGCATGCAGGTAAAGAAACACGGTTCAATCTGTTTTGTACAAGAGACCTTCTTGTATTGTTGTTCTTTGGGTTTTTTTAAGTTTTGTTTTTAGAGGGGGGGGGGGTTGCTTTTTGTTTTTCTGTAATAGTTTACTCTTGAAATAATGCCAAATTTAGGGAAAGTGTTGTATAATAAATTGGTATTGCACAATATTATGTCTACACCAGACATACTCATACACATGGGCAAACTACGACCCGAGGTCGAGATTAGGCCCGACAGTCGACCCTGTAGTCAATGTAATGAATGTGGCCTGCAGTGAGTTGGTATCAATAAAAACCCAAAACTGCCCGTTCTTTAGATTACGATTTATATTATCTGGTCCAGCTGGAAACAATAGATCTACTATTCTATCTTATGAAATGTCCTTTAGTGACGTATTGTGCTACAGCGGCGTAGGTGGCCTACTGATTAGGATGATTAGGATACGGACTCGTAATCGTTAAATTGCTGGTTCGGGGGTTCGAGCGTCAGCTCGGTCCGATGTTGTGTCCTTGGAAATGGCACTTTAAGCGAATAACCCATTTGGCTCAGTCCTTTCGGAGATGGACGTTAAACTCGGAGGTACCTACCGCCTCTTAAATAACCTTATAGTGTTGATAGGGACGCTAAAGCAATACCATTTCACCATTTTCATTGCTATAATGTCAGTTTTAGTCTCACTTTTGAGGGGTGGGGAGAGCATCTCAACCGATTACATGTATACCTTTCTCATGCTTCGGCTCGTGAGACATTCAGAATCGCTTTCAATTAATCCAACCACCGACTTGAACACGCTTGCTCTTGCCTGGTCCAAATAATATATTTTGTCGAGATGACTCAAGAAGAGAGGTAGAGAGTATGTGAGAGAATGAAAGATGAAAAACGAGAGGCGCGTGTGTGTGTGTGTCTCTCTGAGTGTGTATGTGTGTGTTGTCTGCCAGAAACATGTCTGGTTCTTCCAGCGTAGTTAATAAAGTTGTGCACTACAAGTATACGAACATTTGTAACGTGCTTAAAAGAAATTAAAATTCCTTGAAATCGAAAAGAAAAAACGACTAAAATTATTGTGTTGGAAGTGTATCCAGTATGAAAAAGCATTACAATGTGACCTGATGGCAAAGAGAGGACTCTTTGGTTGTGTTTTAATGAAACTGTCTGAACTTGCTTGACACCATTGTTTTCTTTTTATTACTGTTATTGTATTTGCTAGTTTCGTTTCGTTTTTTGCTTTTGTTGTTTTATTTTTATTTTAGTTTCTCGGGAGGCTTTTAGTAGGTATATTTTCTTGCCTTTTCTGACCAGACCAGCTAACATTTGAGTTTCTGGAAAAAGAAATAATAATCATATTTTTAACTCTCTGATACGCATAAACATTTTCCTTTAGTGTTTGCTCTTATCAGTAACAAAATCAAAGAGCTAGCTGATATCCATACTTTATTTGTCAAAGTGTTTTTCGGAATGCAATACATACTTGAACCTTAAAGCAAAACAATGATATAAAAACAGAAAAAATATTCTAACAACAAGACACAATAAATGTCTTTTTGTTTGTCCTGTTTCATCTTTTTGTTTCGGGTCGAGGGGGG